CCCCCATTCTCCACTATATGGAAAGCAACATTTTTGCTGCAGAGAAAAGCTACTACCACCAAACTGTGACAATGGAATGGCCAGTTGGGGTGTGGGCAGCTTTCTGGGAAGAGACACCACAGCAGCTGCAACTTCCCATGAACATTTGGCACATCTGAGCACAGGATGGTGCACGGTCAGCCGGGTGCAGCTGGAAGCCCACCTGGTGGGGCAAAAACATCTACACAGCCTGTGTGCATACACACGTGTACGTGTTTAAATGACCAGTTTCATGATCTGCTCATTGCTCTGATAAGCTCTCCTGGAGCCAGGTATACTCAGCTTCCTTAAAGGCTTCCACAGGTCACCTGACAATGACAAGCCTCAGGAACAGGACACAAACACTGGAGTAGACTGCTGGCCAAATACAAAAGTCTAAACTTGGATGAAGTCACTGCCTCCTAGGAGATAAGGTTTAGGGTAGTAAAGCTTTGAGTATAAGAAATAAAATGGTGAAGACTAGAGTAAAACAACAAAAAAAGTCCACTTTTGGGGAAGACACTCATTCAGACCACAGCAAGCAGAACCTGCCTTGATGATTAAAAGGCCAATGACCCAGACCATATCATCTCTATATTCATGCACTTATAACCATCACTGAGCAAGCAATGCCAGGGTTCTCACGGTCTTCCGAACACTGACTCTGGTGGTCCAGCTGACCCAACATTCCAGGCTATTCCGAAGCAAGCCCTAGAAGACATTTCTCCGACAGAGTCTCCCATCCAGGAGGGCAATGTGGAGATTTCTCCCCCACCTCTTGACACTGTATTATCACCAAACTGTCTGCTCTACAAAGTCTTGGGGGAAAAGGAAGTGATTATCCGACACTTCTTTAAGAGCCTTGCCCTTATTCTTGGGCATTAAGAATTTTAATTCAAGTCCCTGTTAAAAAGGCAGCATAAGACATTTACAGAGACCCCATCCCCAGCTGAACATGCTCCATATTACCAGGTTTCTTCTTGTAGAAAGGGAGGGATGAGGCAAACCTCTACATGAGAACATGCAGGGACTGGCTGCACGTACCTGCATCTGCTCCAATGTACTATCACCCTAGAGGCTACAACGACAGAGACCCCTTAAGCTGAGACATGATAATTAGCATTTTGTAATTAAGGGATAGAAAGAAATAAGGACAGAGTTTGTATGTAGTATAGAAATCGTCTCCTATCTCCTACAATGACTTACATTCTTAAAAGGGATTCCTTGCATTTATATGTTTTGTGAAACTAAAGCCATCCTTCTAGTTCTATACATTTATATTAAACAAAAGAACTCATTTCCCTGGATGGTCCATGCTGATACTGTGAAAAAAATTAACACCTACTTCTAGGGATAACGGAATGAGACTTCTTTGACTAGTTTATATTAGCTGATTTTTAAATTAAAGAAAACTAAGGCACTGAATAAACCACAAAATAAACTATTGAAATTATGTAATATTTTAAATAAATACTCAATAAATTCTCTAAATGGTAGGAAGAGTTAAAGGAGCATCTGGAAAATGAAAGCTCAAGGAAAATACAATCTTCTTCATAAGCCTAAGTGAGAAGATTGAACTATTTGCCTCATGATAACATTTCTTTTTTAAAAAGTGACTATTCTTTTAAAATGACCTTCTTTGACTCCCCTCACCTCCCACCCCCACTTCCCTCCTTGGTCACATTCTGTCACATTCTCCATGCTGGTCCTCGTGCAGACTCATGTGAAATGAAGAAGGAAAATGCAAAAACAGAAATAAGCTGTTTGGGGCAAACCAGCAAAGCCTATTCATGCGATGCAGTCCGAGGAACGGTGACTAGAGTACTCTAGATTTTGTATCAAAAGACAGCCCAGGTGCAAAAGCAAAAAGTGGGACCGGTGAGCGCATCTGCGCCAGGACAACATGTGTGCTCGCTCTGCTCAGGGCAGGGAGGGCAGTGGCCGGCCTGTCCGCTAGGGAGCGCCATTAACATTCTGTGCTTAGGACTTCTGAGTAAATCTGAAAGGCCTTGTTCCAGATTACTGAGACACACAATCCAAATGTATTAATCCAGAGAGGTGAAGAGAAAGGAGAAGCGAAGTTGTCCCGAAGGACACACGGATGCACTTTCCAGCAAATCACACTTCAGCAATGGGAACAGGCCCTGACCCTGTACCTCGGGGGCGGGCAGGGGAAAATGCTTCTGGTCCATGCGGTCTTCCTCCTCGTCATCGGGCGGGGGCTTTGCTGGAGGCGGTGGCCGTTCCCTCTGCAGACGAGAAAAGAAGTAGTTCACTGCCTCTTTTTTTAAGTATCTAACTTTTTGGTTTATTCTTACCTTAGCCCTTGGAAATGAAAAGAAGAATGCAAAGCCCTCTCCTGCAAGACCAAAGTCAAGGTCTAGAATCTGTACAGATAAAACGCAGCACACAAACACACTTCAAGTCACATGCGCTTAGCTTTTTGGTGTTTATAGTGGAGATGATAAACCCCTCTTTCCTGTCCTTGACCACAGTGAGAAATATCAGCACCGGAAACACAGATCTGCCCGGTCGGAACACATCCATCATAAGACTGACGCATGAAACACTAGGAAAATCTAAGCTGGCTTCCAGTAAAAGGAGTCCAAAGAATCAGCTTGTCAAAGAGCTCCAACAAACCAAAGTGCTTAAGGAAGTAATGAGGAAAGTACCAAGGACAGAAGCATCCACTCCTGCTCACACTTGGATGCCATCCCCATTTCTCAGCAGAAGCTCAAACTGGTCTGAGCCTCACCACCCCCTCTCCAAAGATTACTATTGCATATCATTAGCATATGAAAACCCTATCTCACCGCAGTCCATTTAAAGAAATAACACTAGTCAGTTCCCCATCCTAGAGTGGGGCTGGCAAGCCTTTTCTTAAAGGGCCATAGAGTAAATATTTTAGGCGTTGCAGTCAGCGCTGCCACTGTGGTAAAAAATTAGCCACAGAAAATAGGCAAACCAGTGAGCGTGGCTGTGCTCCTGTTAAACTTTATTCGCAAACAGAGGAAGCTGTTTGTGGACCTAGTTTGCCAGCCCTGCCCTGGAGCAACACTCACTGGAGAGAGGTTAGTGACATCACAGGCAGACACTTTCAGAAACACACGGAGTGGTCTCTGATGAAAGAACAATAAAGAGCGGTTTGTCACTGTGCCCACAGCACTTTCAACGTCGTTTCTATTCCAAAGCCTGATCATCAGTGTTCTATGGGGAAGGCAGTGGTAACGTGATCAGGAATTGGCCTGCAGGTTAGTTAGTTCACTGTGCTGCTAGAATAGGAGTATTTAAGTCATGTCAGTGTTGAGTCTGAGAGAGCCTGGGAGAGATCTGCGAGGAAAGATGGTTTTCATGTCTCAGGAGCCGCCAGGATTGGTCAGCATTTGGCACCCAGCTCTCTGTTAAAACATGCTTCACTGCTAGGTATTACATCTCAACAAGTCAGCCATTTTCAGTCCCTGGAACCAGATGGCACTCAATGGCAACAACTTCGACAGAGGTTTGTACATTCAAACCAAACAAAGCAATTTAGATGAGATTTCCACTGTCTCATTTCCCCACCCTTCTTTGCCCTAGAGGTGCCACCTCGTAAAGGGAGATAGAAAAAGCAGCAGGCTCATAATCTACACCAGTTACCCAACCCTGGAACACAAACAGCCAAGGAAAAACAAGAAGAAACACAACAAAGGCCCTCCTGGAGGGCTTGGCATCTGAAGGAGCCTGTGCAGAAGCGAGCACCAGGGACACAGGCAGGAAAGAGAAGCGTGGTCCTCTTTTCTCTAATGTCAAAGCTTGGCCTGGGGCCTGGAAGTACAGAGCTGATTTATACACACCATCCGCGGTGTTTACAAGACGTAGAACAGTCTGGCAGCCACAGTTAATTACCAAGGGCCAAGGAGGTGGCACAGCCACAACATACTCAAATGAAAATGGCAGAGCACACACACAAAGTGCGTCAGTTTCTACTTAGAAGGACCAAAGGAGGCTGGATTTCCAGAGGAAGATGGAACAAAGAGACTAAATGAGTGGCCAAGCCCCACAGGAATTCGGTTATGCCAAGCTTCCTGCAGGAACCCTGTGCTCTTCTTGCCAGGCCTCCAGCTCCCTCTAATGGGCATCACATGTAAGTACCACTGAAAACAAAGCCTTCCTCCAAGGTGGATTTGCTTAATTTGTTTGTTCCTAACAGTGAAAAGAAGTAGAAAAAAACTAGTTCTGTCTACAGAGCCACTATGCTCGAGGAGCTCAGCACGGGCACTTGCTTCACCACATTCCTTGAACACACCCTCTCTGGTGGGCTACCACAAGACTAGCCGGACTTTTCAAACTCCACTCAGAACTGTGGGGTCTGTTCCAGGACAGGGCAAGGAGCCTAACACAAAAGAATACCAAGCAGCATCAGGCCACACCCAAGGCACACCTGAGAAGTCCAAGCATCACCTGGCAGCACCATCTAGCAGCATCACCTGGCAACATCACCTAATAGCATCACCTGGCAGCACCACCTGGCGGCATCACCTAGTAGCACCACCTGGCAGCACCACCTGGCAGTACCAGCTGGCAACAGCACCTGGCAACATCACCTAGCAGCACCATCTGGCAACATCACCTTGCAGCACCACCCAGTAGCATCACCTAGCACACCACCTAGTAGCATCACCTAGCAACATCACCCAGCAGCACCTAGCAGCAGCATCTAGCAACACCACCTAGTAGCATCACCTAGCAGCCAAAGGGCCATCCAAATGGTCACCAGCAGATCCAGCCCAAGGGAAAGCCAGCCTCTTCAACAGGAAGAAATAATACACACGTGGAAATACGCCTCGAGGTGGGATTACACTGGGATCCCATTAGAACAATGCCAGTTTAGTAAACGCCCGGGCTCAAAACCTCAAATTGCTGTGTCGACAATACAGGAAGGTCCATGGGAACCGAGTCAGCTCAGGTTCGCAGTAAAACCCCAGGAGAAAATGGGGTAAGGCGGCTGGAGAACAGTATCTGAGGCAGAAGCAGAAGCACTCATCAGACAAAGCAGCAGTGAGACAGGAAGAGGGGCCTGAGAAGGAAAAATTCAGGACTGTCCTCATGCTATTACTTCAATGGCTAGAGGGGTTATTTCTGGGAAAACAGAAATGCCACACACTACATGCGCTGTGGGACTGAACCTTGCCGCAGCCCTGCTGATACGGAAATCCACCAGCTCGCACGGTAATTCTGAGGGTGTGGGAGGTGCGCGGGAATGCGGGTGGACAGGAACTCATTTCCACAAGCTCTTCCGCCGCCGGGACTGCTCTCAGAGAAAACACGGACCCAAACACAGAGCAGCATTAAGGCCAAATAGAAACGAAACACTGTAAGGTGCTCTAAGGCCAAGGAGTAATAAAAAGATGCAAACAGGTTACACTGAAATTGGAAAAACCAAAATTCTACCTCAATGTGGCCTGTGCAGTTTAAGTGCACTGAGCAAGAAATGCCTCACAGAGCCCAGAACAGGCCTCTGTGCGAGCTGGCACAAGGGGCACCCCTCTCCCCAGGACTCCAAGAGCCCAGGATGCTGAAGCCCCCAGCCACATACCGGCCTCACTCCAGCAGCTTTCATGCTCGCAGCCTCGGCCTCCTTGCTCACAGAGTCCCGGTCAGATGATCGCCCACTGGCCATGCTGTCCAGCGAGTGGCAGGAGACAGCATTGTATAGCGCCTCGTAGGGCCCCTCCTCTTCAGCATTTGTGTCAAAATCGATGACCAGTTCAGTCACTGCTTTCTCCACGTCACCTGGGGAGGAGGGCAGAGGGCAGGAGGGTCAACAAAAGAGCAGAGTCTGGGGTTTGCAAGCTCCACGACAACCTGGAGCCTGTGCAATGCCTGAACTGGCAAACGCTGGTCCAGAGCAGGACAACGAATGAGGGCCTGCTCACGAGCAGAAATAAATAGGCTTCACTGCTCTTCACACCTGAGGAGTGGAGGGATTTTCCTCTACTCAATATGGAAAACCCAGGGATCTCTGGGTTGCTTGCAAAGAGTCAAAACTAACTGTAAAACTACTGAACGCTAAGAGCTGAGGGAACTACTAACTCCGTTCCCAGTAGATTAGAGTCAGAAAAAAAGTGACGGGGAGGAAGGTGCGGACTCCACGGGAAGGCAGACTGAGCGCCTTTAACCCTGTATCCCTGCGCTCCTGAAAAACCCCTTCCCTGCTCAGTGTCTGGCTGTGTTCCATTTAGCTTTCTTTATTGTGATTTGTGTCTGGGGAAGGTGTCACTCAGTATTTTGTCTTTCTTTTTAAAAATTTTTTTTTTATATCTTTATTGATTTCAGAGAGAGGAAGGGAGGGGGAGAGAGAGAGACAGAAACATCAATGATGAGAGAGTCACTGATCGAGCCCACAACCCAGGCATGTGCCCTGACCAGGAATCGAACCCTGATCGCCTAGATCCTAGGTCGATGCTCAATCTCTGAGCTATGCTTGGCCGTGCCCGGTATTTTGTCTTTCTCACTCATCATACCAAGGACCCAAAAGGCTGAGCAGTAAATCTGAAAAGGTGGATCCTGGCAGTAATGGAGCACCTAGACCACATCTATTGGCCAGGTGATGCATCACCCAGATCTGCACATATACACCTACCAACCACATGACGCTCATTAAACACTTACTATGCTTGCCCAGCCGGTGTGGCTCAGTGGTTGAGCGTCGACCTATGAACCAGGAGGTCAGGGTTTGATTCCTGGTCAGGGCACGTGCCGGGTTTTGGGCTCAATCACCAGTAGGGGGCGCATAGGAGGCAGCCAATCAATGACTCTCTCATCATGATGTTTCTCTTTCTCTCCCTCTCCCTTCCTCTCTCTGAAATAAAAAACAAACATTTACTATGCTCACGAGCCAACTATGCTCAAGACACTAGAGTGTGAGTTAGAAAAAGGTTCCACTAAGATTTGAATTCATCTTGAGATTATCCTGCCTGCTACACATCCTGACCTTACGGAGCAACTGGGGAAGCAGAGAGTGAAATAAAGTAGGAAAGATGGTTTCTGCTGCCAAAGGCCTACGTGGTGTCCAGCACAGCTTCATACAGTCGGGAAAAAAGGACTGTGAATACGCACTTAAGTCCTCCTAACTCCCTGAAATTATTACTTAAATAAAGATTTTCCATTCTGCCAAAGAATGTCCAACTCTTCAAGCTGAGAGCCCCTCCAAAGCAAAGCCGCCTTACCCTGAGACTTCTGGGATATGGCGTCCACACTGGAGATGAGAGGAGGCTGGGGTGTGGGAGTTTTATCCACCTCTTTTGTACTTCTTCTTCCGGTCATGTGATCTACATGGAAAGACAACAACAAAAAGCTGCACCATATACAAACGCCTTGGTCTGGCCAGCGTGTCCTTGGTGCCCCTGAAGGGGAGGTGGACTGATACCTTCAATAAGTGCTGCTATCTGCTGGCTCTTCTGTGAAGGCAGTTCCCGGAGAGTGTCTAGGGCAGTCAGTCCACGGTTATCTTTTATGTTGACATCAATTCCTAGAAAGGCAACCAGGTGGACCAGTGGGGTGAGCATTTTCAAGTCAGCCTCAAAGAGGGTCAAATTCCAGGACACCTAATGCTCCCAGCCTCACATCCAACATTTTTCATCCAAAGCATTTAATCCAGCTGTTCATGAACAATTCGCACACTTGCAATCAATCAGTAGAGACATACATACATTGGGTTCAATAGCAGCCAGCAAAGTCCCCTCTGGGGAGGCCAGGAAGAGTCCCAGCCTGGCATGCGTGCAGACAAGAGCACTGCCGACCTCACCTGCGGCCAGCAGGATGTGCACCACATCGGTCTTGCCAAACAAAGCGGCCTCATGCAAAGCACTGCCCTTCTCCGTCTGGAAAGCAAACAAGAGCGCAGAGCGGGTGTCATCAGAACAGTGGCCTGGGTTTCGCGTGGCCACACACGACAAACGGGACAGAGACAAGAAGGGACAGGAAAATAAATAAACCACACAGCCCTCTGTCATTATCTTTCCCATTTTTCTTGTCTAGATTCCAAAACCACGAGTGTGGCCTGTCTGTCATGGGTGTTTGCTGTGCCATCAGCAGGCCACACACGACTAAGTTACCCTTGGAGTCACCGATGGGTAAGACTCCTCAAAACTCCACCTTCCTGGGTGGACGGAGTAATGAGTGTGGCTTGGTCAGTGCGAAGCCTGAGGAATAGTCACTCGCCTGAACGGAGAAAGCAAACCACCAAGGGAAATGCTGTCTCCTGTTGGCAAAATCAAGCTGATGGGGCTTTGGCGGTGCTAAATGGTGGCCGTGAGGACACGGGTACAGGAAGATAATGAAACGTTTCTAATTTCCAGAGCTTATCTATGATCACATCTTTTCAGGGAATAATAACTACATATTATCCCTGAAAAGAAACAAAAAATAACATACTCACTGGGGAGTTTATTGGTCTCTTAAGCCTCCCAGTAAAATGAGCCAACAAATGGAAGCGTCTGACACGCGGTGTGAATGTGCCCAGTAAGAGACAGCCCAGCAGCACGCACTGTGCCTTTTCCGAAACGACTAAGTCACTGAGCCCAGGATATCTACTGGCCGCTACCTGGTAGTTGCTGTCCATGCCCGCGTCCAGGAGCACCTGGACCACGGCCCTGTGGCCATTCCTGGCCGCCAGGTGCAGAGGCGTGTGCTTCTTAGTGTTGCAGCTCAAGAGGTTGGGGTGCGCATTGAGCAGCATCTTCACCACCTCCAGCCTCCCATACAGCGCAGCCAGGTCCAGAGGGGTCTCGAACTTGTTGTTGCGCATCGTGGGGTCTGTGAGCTCCTCTAAGAGGACCTTCACCACCTCCGTGTGGCCATACTGTGCCGCGCAATGCAGGGCCGTCTCGTTGTCATTGTTCTAAAGAGTTAACAAAGTTAACAAGCAGATCACATCAGGAAGGTGACTGGCAGACAGGCCTACAACTGGGACAATCACACATAAAGCCAATGAAATTTAAATGAGAGAAACAGCAGTAATCCTTGGGGACTAACAGAAATCAGTCAGAATCCAGAGGTACTCCCCGGGAACAAGGTTGACTGCTCCAACCAGCCCTCTTCCCCAGGTGCTGCAAGAGGGGAGCAGCCACCTAGCACCTGCAGTCTCCTCTGTGCTGAAGGAGGTGACTGCAGGTGGCCTGGGACTATGGCAGGCCTTGGGAGAAGCCCTGGCAGATGAATGCCAAGAAATCGCTGCTGTTGACTCATTTTAAACTTCAACTGGTTTTACAATTTATATTTAGTCAACCCCGTGGTTCTGATTCTGGATTTGTTGACCATCCGTTGCCTCACAGACAAGCTTTTCTGAAGAGTTTGTCATCTGCTTAGCTTCTTGCATGCAAATCAATCAGCCAACAATGAAGGTAACAGAGCAGAGCACCAAAAATCACTCTCGCAACACCAGCCAACAGCCATCTCCAGGGGAGGGGGCACTTGAGGTCAGTCACCAAGGAAGGGGGGGGGAATGCTACCCTGCACCAGTCAATGCATGCAGCATCCACAGTGTGTCTATGCGACAAAGATTCCATCAGACACGGGAATGTTGTGTGAAAGGTGCAAAATATTCAAAACTGTACCACCACCATCAATTCAAATGGACACCCGCGGCCCTGGAAGCCAATGCTGCTTCAAACTAAAGGGAGAACCTGGGATAAAATAGAAGTTTGTGCTTTTTCAACCGTCAGAAGCAAACTATTAACTATTCCATTGATGCTTTCTTTTACTACAGCTGCCAACGTATAATTCGAGCAGGAATAAAGTGATTTCCATGCCCTTTCCACTTTAGAAGCACTGATGAAAAGAATTCTCCCATGAGATTTTGAGATTCCTGAATTCACCCAGGAGGCTTCTTTAGGGAAACAAAGTTTACAAAGGGTTTGTCCAGCAAGTCAATATTATGCACCTTTCAGTGGTCAAAAGGTAAAAATTAAATGTTTTCACAACTACTTTTATTCAATTAATGACATCAAATGTAACAGACTAGAAGTCACCCAAACATGCATGCAATTCCATCTGCTTTTGGTCTGGCATTTGACTGCATCATTTTTTCCAGCTACACCAAGTGTACCAGAAAGATCCAGAGCTGCTGGGAGCAAGGCCCCAAAAGGCCAGAAGGACAGCAAAGAAACTTTTAAAAATGAAATAAGGACAGAAAGGGTGGTAGCAGGAGCCACATGCAAGATAAATGCACACAGATAAACAGAGGACCAGGCACTGAGCTCAAAGAGGTTCAGGAGAACAGCAGATGAGAGGTGTGCAGCCCTCGCTGGCCACAGACACAGCCAATTAGCAGTGGCCTCCTCAAAGGGCAACTCAATGTCAACCTGAAAGTCTGGAGAGAAGGGGAAATCCTTGGGTTTCCCTGAGCCAGACCAACCATTTAGGATATGCATTTGGAACACGCACTGCTGTGAAGCTATGGCATGAGTCCCTGAGCAAACCTAGAGTCCCTCCAGCTCCTCATAATGAGAAGACAGCCACATCAACAAAACTCCCTGCAGAGCGCTCCTGCAGCCAAGCGGCAGCCCAAAGAAGTTCAGGGGGGTTATCAGGGTTTACATCTCAAGGTCAGCATGGTGGCAAGGGCCCAGAAAGTCAGCTTATTCTTATTAAAACTCCAGTCCAGAAGATCTTGCTTACTCAGAAACAGATACTGTTGTCTCTTTCATATCCAAGTTGTTTCCCAACAACCAGAATAATCTGTCCTTGATTTTGTAAAAGAGAATGCCATGAGGGCCTGAACAACTGCAAAACTCTAAACTATCCAGCAGAAAATAAGTCTTCCCTGTTTGTTTGTTTTTGCCAGAATGCAGGCAGTTGCCACAAAGTTGCCTTGCTGAAAAGGCAAGGTCTGGATCACTGCCAGGCAAATTTCCCACCCATGCTAAAACGGCCTAACCACATCTCCAGGATGTCCTGCTTAGATGCAGTGTAGGATGCATCTTTCTTATGTTTTAGCCTGGCCAGACATGGTCTCATAACTGTGATAATCTTGAGTTTAGGACTGTGGTGAGCACCCCTCCACTACTGAACATAGGCCATCACCAGGAGCTCTCACTACCGTTTCCCCCTGAACCTAACAACTATCAGGGCAGGAAGGCACTAAATATTGATTCATGGACCCACAAGAAGGGGAGGGATTCCAAGAAGCACACAGACTTCTAACCACCTGGAACCCTTCTCTTCCACACCTTCCAAATTGCAGCATAGGTGCTCACAACACCTCGAGTTCCCAGAATCGTATTACTATGAATCTGGACTGAGGAAGGGGACTGAGATGAAATACCCCAATTTTCCCCAAAGTCTTTGCACAAACTCCATTCCTGCCCATCTTGAGACCACTTTCATTTTCCTTGCTATGTATGGTCAGTACTTCTAAGGCAAAAAAGATCCCTCATACCCTTTATATCTGGAGACCCCATTCAATGTGTAAGTCCATTAGACTTATGCATTTACACACACACACCCCCACACACACACAGAGTACAAGCAGCAGAAAATCATACAGAAACATTTCCACAGCCTTTCTCCTCTTAGAACCATTCACAACCATCAGCTCCCAGTGCTGAGATTACACCCAACTGCACTCTTGTTCGCTGTTGACAGACACCTAGGTTAGGGACACCTGGGCTGCAGCTCTCTGTAGCAACAATGGTACAGGCTTGAGAAAACTGAAACAAAACTGGGACAAAAGGACAAATCAGGTCTCCTGAGATTTAGAAGACACAGGATAAACGTGCAGACTGAGTCCATCATGTGGAAGGCGTTCGACTTGTTCTGCAATGCCCTGGAAGGCAGACTCCAGGTTTAGGAAGACAGATGTCAACCAAGCATAAGAAACCAAAAATCAGCGGAATCCCGAAAGAGGATGCCAAGCCTTAATTCTGTTTGTTACTAGGAGAAACAAACAAACATAAAGTAAGAGGTAGATGGCCGACCTTTTAGGTCAGAGATGTCCCGGCTCTGGGTGGAAAGTTAGCTTAGATCAGTGGTCCTCTAACTGGCTTCATTTAGGAATTAAAAGTAACTAATATAAGCCCCGCCCCAGGCTTGCCAAGGTAGCACCTCAGAGGCTACAGCCCAGGAAAACTGTTATTAAGAAGCTTACTAACCCAGAAGGCACCCACTCCACCAGGCACTCATTCATCACCATCGAGGGAGACAAACTGCCCATCCGTGCACTCAACAGGAGGGATATGGCATTCCTCCTGAGGCGTCCCTGCCAGAAATATATACCCCGAAACGAGGAGACAGCACACAAACGCAAACTGACGGACAGTCAACAAAATGGGCCTATATTCCTCAAAAATGTCAGTGTCGTCAAAGGCAGAGAAAGTCTGAGGAGCTGTTCTGGGAATGATCCTGGGTTGGATCCTGGACCAGGAAAAAAAATTGCTCTAAAGGACATTATTGAGCCGATTAATGAAATTTGAACATGGATTCCATATTGAATAACAATATTATATCTATGTTGAATTTTGATCGCTGCATTGTGGTTATACGAGTGAGTCTTAGGAGATACATGCGCAAGTATCTGGAGCCAAAGGTGCTGATATTGGCGACGTAATTTCAAATCCTTCATCATTAACCACAATGACAGTGACAATATGGGGAGGGGGGCCAGTGTGACAAATGCTAACAATTGGTTAATCTAGGAGAGCACAGTGTAGTTCACTGCATTATTCTTGCAACTTCTGTAAGGTGGAAATTTTTTCAAAATAAAGTTTACTAAAGCTTGCTAGGTGATTCCGATGCAGCCAGACAAGCTGGACAGCACATGGGGACAGCTGGTCTATACAACTTGTAGGTCTCTTCAAGCTCTGAGATTAAGCTATTTTTAAGTGTACAGAAAACAGATCTACCCCAAAACTGATTTGACTGTTGCTCATCTTATGATATTCAGAGTAAGTTAAAATTACTGTAAAAGAGAAAACAATTGCAATGGTTCCCTCTTAGCTAAGGACGATTTACACTTGGACTGGCTTATGCTGACTTATGAAAAAGGGAAGGCTCCGTATGTCCAGGAGGAAGACAAAGCTCATGAAAACTACATCTGCTCCCCAGAAGGGCACCTGAGATTTCTTCATTCCCAAAGGTGCCTGATATGACTTAGCAGCAAAAGTCCTTTAGCTAAGCAATTCCTAGACACAGCCAGATCAATAAAAATCCATGGGGTCAGGACAAAACCTAGGGGTGTCACAGTCAAATCAGGCCAAGCTGAGTTTGTATTCTTAGCACCCAAACAGCTTTATCCCTTAGGCCTTTGCATCAGTTGCCCTGGGGTTGGAGGGGAGGGAGAGTTGAGAAAGGGGGAGGCAAAGGGCAGTCTTTCCAAACAGAGAAGTATGTTCTTATTCCATTTAGACTATTTTCTTTTATGTGTGCAAAATCAAGGGATAGGAAAATGTGCTTTCAAAACCAGTCTTGCCCTAGCCAGTTTGGTTCAGTGGTTACAGCGTCGGCCTGCGGACTGAAGGGTCCCGGGTTCGATTCTGGCTAAGAGCACGTGCCTCGGTTGCAGGCTCGATCCCTGTCCCCGGTCAGGGGACCAATCAGTGTGTCTCTCTCACATCGATGCTTTTCTGTCTCTCCCTTCCATTCTCTCTGAAAAGCAGTGGAAAAAATATCCTTGGGTGAGAAACAAACAAACAAAACCAGTCTTACCCTTTAATCAGCTTCATAAGCCAACTAAACCAACCACGAATCACTGAAGGGGAAACCAGTTCAAAGTGACTCCCCCAAACAAAACCTACTAGTAAACAAGGAACAGATTCCAAAATGCCATTTCAGAAATACCGCATTATATATTCCTTTAAAATTGGGATCTCGAAAATTACTAGTGACCAGATATTTTTACTTTACGTACATTATCTTACTTAAACTCCAAAACAACCCAGCAAAGTAGATGGAATACCCTATTTTACAGAAGAGGAAACTGAGGCTCAGGGAAAGTAAGTAACTTGTTCACGTCAACAAAATCAAGTAAGTGATAGCAGAGAATTCAAACTAAGGCCTGGCCTACCTGACAGTTCTCCACTCTACCATACCACTTTAAAAAACAAAACAAAACAAAAACCAGAAGAAAACAAAGACAGAGTATTTTCTA